CTCCATGCGTGGCAGGGATTGTGACAGGGGCAGCCCAGGTTCCCCCGGCTCCTAATGTGACCCCGGGTGGAACAGGAAGGATTAGGATGGCTCCGTTTGTCCTCCCCCATCACTCCTGGGTTGTGGGAGACACCTCCTACTGTGAGAGCACCTGTGAGTGCCCCAACATCCTCCTCCTGCTCCTCTGCACTCCCCTCCTCTCCATCTTCAGCTGTGTGGGAACCACCCAAGCAAGGGGCCAGGCACAGGGCCGTGGGTGACCTCTCGCCATGAGCCCCTCCAGACTGGTTTTTCCCCACCACGGGGATGGGGACATCTCGGTGGCAGGCACCCAGTGGGAGTCAGGGCAGCCCCATAGCTCTGTGCCAGGAGGAGCCCTTGAGACCAGCTGGCCTGTTGTGCCCACCACTGCTCTGGCCCCACAAACCACCCTGGACACCCCAGTGTCCCCAGGAACCCCTCATTATCTCCATTTCATCACCCTTTGACATCATCCCGACAGCATCCTGCCTCTCCATCCTCCCCTTCCTCCTGCTTGTGCCTCTTGGCTAAACCTGCCCACTCAATGCTTGGTGATGGGGCAATGTCCTCAGAAGCACCCTGCAGCTCCCCCCACCCCAAGGGTGCTCAGGGCCTGGAGATTCGGGGTGGCCTCCCAGACCAGAGAGAGGGCAGCAAGGTGGGATGCAAGGAGAGATGCTCTTGACACCATCATCTTGTCCTACCGGGACAAGATGGAATCAGGATGGACTCTCTCCCTGGGCATTGGCAAGCTGGAGGCTCAGGGTAAGCTAGGGTACGGCCCCAAAAGTGCCAGCCCCTGTGTGCCATGGGAATGTTGTAGCATCCCAATGGGGGAGCGTAGCTCTGCCCAGTACCGCTCGCCTCTCTCGGGTATTGCCCATCCCCTCCCCGCACAGTGCCCGGTCAGACGGGTGCTTTGCTGGCAGCCAGCCCCAAACAGGGTGCTAGCGGGGTCCCTGGGGCATGGGGCAATGCAGGAGAGGTGAGGGGTGGATGGGAAGGAGATGCCCCTCACTGAAGAACCATCAGCTCCTCCCGTAACCTGGCTCCGTCGCAGCATCGGACGGGACCTACAGACCTATGGCTACAAGTGTGTGGCTGCTGCAGCTCACCCGCCCTACGCCACCTCCCTGTGCTCCTGCTTGGACTGCTTGATCACCTGGAGGCAGAGGGAGAGGGACCATCAGTCAAGATGGACAAGAGGAAACAGTCTCAAGTTGCGCCAGGGGAGGTTCAGGCTGGATATTAGGAAGAACTTCTTCACTATAAGAGTTGTTAGGCATTGGAATGGGCTCCCCAGGGAGGTGGTGGACTCACCATCCCTGGAGGTGTTCAAAATATGTTTAGATGTGATGCTTCGAGACATGGTTTAGCAGGCATGGTGGTGTTGGGTATACAGTTGGACTTGATGATCTTTGAGGTCTCTTCCAACTATAACGATTCTATGATTCTGTGATCACCCCGGACTCAGGCTCTCCTCCCTGGCTGAACCTGCCTGGACTCTGAATGAGCTTGGGGACAGGGACGGGGATGGTTTTCTCTATGAGCTGCCAGGCTCAGCTCCACCATGGTCCAGAGTCAGTTTATGCCGTGATCTGAGGCCACTGGGCTCACTGGCTCACTGCCCAGGCTGCTCCTGGGGCTGAGGGATGGTGGCCCCATGTGCATGATGAGTGATGCCCTTGGGGACACCTGTGGGGAGGCGGGGGTGGAGGGGAGGCAGCGTGGGTGACACAGATAAGGACTTCCCACCTCTCCATCTCTGGTCTCCACAGTTTTGACCATGATACTTCTCTTCAGCTGGGCTTCTGACACAGATCTAGTGTTCAAGCTGGTCTCTAGGGGACGTGGACAGGACATGGTGGTGACCTGATGCCCAGGGTACAGTCCTTCCAGCCTCGCTCAAGTGGAAGGGCCCGAAAAAAACAGGTTGGACTGGAAAACCCTGAACCATGGGAGATAGAGGCCCTGGGGACATGACCAGCCTCAGGGACACTGTTGGCCTCAGGGACATGGTTGGCCTTGGAGACGTGGTTGGGGACGAGGTCAACCTTGGGGATGCAGTTGGAGACGTGGTTAGCCTTGGAGATGCAGTTAGGGATGTGATTGGCCCTGGGGATGTGGGTGGGGACATGGTTGGCCTTGGAGATGTGGTTGGCACTGGGGACATGGGTGGTTTTGGGATGTGATTGGGCTTGGGGACAGGGTTGTGCTTGGGGAGACAGTTGGCACTGGGGAACATAATTGGCCTTGGGAATGTGGTTGGTACTGGGGACATGGTGATGTAGTCAGTCTTGGGGACATCATTGGCCTTGCGGACATGCTTAGCCTTCGGGATGTGGCCATGGCACGCTCCTCCCTCCATCTTGGGAGAACCCAGGAGTCCTACTTCCTTGAGATTTGGAGGAAAACCTCCCGGTCCCTCTGGATGGGGCAGGGATGGCCAAGATGGCATGTCCTCCCAAAAGCCCCACAGAGCCCCCAAAAGCACCCCTACTTGTGCCACCATCCTGCCCCCATGCTCCACACATGGCCACAGCCTCACCTCAGATCTGCAGGTTGGAGAATCTCTGCACAGGGATGGTGGTCCTGCAGAAGAAACGGGGAGCACTGGGAAGAGCACGGGGTCCTGCCACCCACCGCCCACCAACTCCACGCTAGCCAGGGCGGAGGCAGGAGGGCTGGAGGACAGTCCCCAACTGAGCCGGACAATCCAGAGGGACCACCAGGACTTAGACTTGGTTTGGGGCATGGTTGCGGATGGGGAGAGGGGCAGGATGGAGCCCCGACTCTGCCATCACCTGCTCTCCTCACCCTCCAGCAGCTTGTGGTACGTGGAGATCTCGATGTCAAGAGCCAGCTTGACGTTGAGCCGATCCTGGCA